CTGTTTGCACAAAAATATTAAAAATATACGTGAACTTGCTGTCGTACACGACGATACTGAATATATCGTTTAGTATGAGAAACCTGAGAAGGCATTTTTGACCAGATAACGATAAAGTTTGAGCGTAATAACTTCCGAAGAATATGACTAATTACACTTCAGTAGTGCCCGATAAGATACGTAGAAAGTAATAAATCACAGCTGCAATGTGGACAATACCGTTAGTGATCAATTACAAATAATGTTTATATTTCTGAATTATTCGGGACCGGACCCTAAAAATTCCTTAACTTTTATTGAAATTTAAAATTGATGATTAAAAGTATATACATACATAATGCAAATGAAATGTAATGTGCTTATTAATTTGAGAACTAAAAAATGAGACTACAATTTTACAAATAAAATAATTTATATAATAAGTTTAAAATAAAATAAGTTTATCACGACGACACTGTTACTGTGTTTATTATAATGCTTGCCGCCTTTGAAACATGAGAAGCAATTTTTACCTGATAACGGCAAAGCCAGATTTGGTATCAGTGTATTCACTTCCGAAAATTTTGACCAATTACATTTCAGTATTACCCAATAAGATACGTTCAAAGTAATAAGCCACACCAATATCCATGTGGACTAATACCAGGAGTAATCAATAATTAGAATTACAAAGAATTATCTTTATTTCTATGTTTGCCGTAGAATTACTGACCGGACCCCAAAAATTGTTCTTTCCCAATTCGTTCTTTGACGTTAAATGGTGAGGTTAACCGTCAGAATTGTAAATACTGGGCAAAAGAAAACACCCACTGGATGCTTGAGCATCATACACAATACCCGCAAAAGGTAAATGTATGGGCTGCAATTGTAAGAAATCGAATCATCGGACCCTACTTTATCGAAGGTAATTTAAACGGGGCAACGTACCTTGAATTTTTAAGCGGGTATCTCGTACCTACTTTACGTAATTTGTTTCCCAGCAGACGTAATCCTGGAGGTTTTTATGAAAGTTTATGGTTGCAACAGGATGGCGCACCTGCACATTATGCTATAGATGTTAGAAGGTACCTAGATGAAATTTTTCCGAACAGATGGATTGGTAGACGTGGACCTATTGAATGGCCAGCGAGATCACCAGATTTCAATCCTTTGGTTTATTTTATGTGGGGCCATCTGAAGAATGTTGTGTGTCAAACGAAACCAGCAAATACTCAAGAATTACAACAGAGAATTCGGACAGCAATAAACAATATTTTTCAAGACACAATAAACAAAGTTCAACAAGAATTTGTACAACGTTTGGGTTACTGTCAAATACAGCAAAGGCTGCAGTTCGAACATTTATAAAGTCATGTATTTCATCATATTTTGCCCGCTGGAAAATAAGTATTTTTGATAATATTGTTAATTTAACTAACGCGTTACTTTATGAACACGCGCAAAACTAGTGTATTTTTGTCCACCCTGTACCAATTTGAATCACAATGTGATACATTTTTGGAAACAAGCTCAGCTAGAGTAATTCGAAAATTGAGACAAAATGGGGGTGTTCCATTTAAAAAAAATGACGGTGACATCATTACTCGAAAGTAATTCACCCTGTATATTGAAATCAAAAATCGACGTGTTTCAGGATTATTTCTTAAAATACTCTGTTTAGCTAAAAAAGAACTTGTTCCATACTTTACGGACACAGTGTATATAATAAGTAATGAGGATAAATTAAGAGAAAATCGAGTCCAGGATGTGGTGAGACAGGCACATACATACACGACTCCGCAGATGGAGAGATCATGTTATATATATATATATATATATATATATATATATATATATATATATATATATATATATATATATATATATATATATATATATATATATATATATATATATATATATATATAAGAAATACTGGATATTAGTGACTGTCGATATAAACAAACAAGATAGTTTATTAGGGTTGCAGTCAGAATATTGGCCGGGATGTTAAAAAAAACACTCTTTTGACTTTTTGTCGAGCTTTCGGAATGGTTTTATTCCTTTTTCAAGACACTGTAAAAGACAATTATGTAAATATTTAAAAATATCACAATTCTTCAGTGTAACTTACTAGTCTTTGAGATTATTTTTGTAAGCATTGACACTCAACATTTATACCACACATTAAAATATACAATTATGGACATAATACATCATAAAATTTTTAAAATTTGTTGTAAAAATAGTAAAACTTGATAGATGGCATGTTTTACTGGTGTATATTCACTCATACAGAGAATGGAAAGAAAAAACAGTGTAATTAATATGTAATTAGGTGTAATTGATGTTATCTTTCTTTACAAGAAATACTAGAGGCCCTTTTTAGATGACTATACTTTTTAAACCTGTCTTAATGGTATGCAACATATTATACAGAGGTGTAATTTTTGTACAGGTAAATATTTATTTTATTTTTGGTGTTTTTCTAGTAAATAACAATAAATGTTACTTAATTTGTCTATGTCGGACTTTTTGTTGATGCAAGATGTGCTAGATTTTATGAAACACATTTCCAAAAAAACGCGTTTTGAATGGTTCTTTTCTTTTGCCAAAATACAGGAATCATCGAAATTGAATTCATGTTTTCGAGTTAGTGCATGTTCTGTCAATGCACATGCATTGATTTTTTTGGTTTTTATATCACTGCGATGTGATATCACCCTGCTGTGAAAGTTACGAGATGATTCTCCTATGTAAATTTTATTACAGTTACTACACGGTATAGAATAAACAACATTCGATGACTCCTGTATTGTGAAAGGATCTTTTGTTTTTGTGTAAAGCTTCGATACTGTTTTCACATTTTTGGTTGTAATTTTTAAGCCACTAACATTTTTAAAGATGTTCATTAGCTTAGGTGTCAAAAATTAAATGTAGGGTAGGCAACCATAAGTTATTTTAGATGGTAATATTGATGCGTTATGTGTCAATGTCAATTGTCGGATCTCATTGTTATGAAAATTTTGGTTTTGGCTTTAAAAACTAGGGTTATCAATTTGTCACACATAGAATTCAGAGACAAGGGACTAAAAAAGTTGAGATCCATACTACAAGAGAATTCTTATCCCATAGGACTGTCAAATAAACTCATTTTCGGTTCTCCTTTTCCTTCACAAGTTTCTGTCAACTAATTGTTATATCAATTTTTATAATAAAAAAATAAATTTTAACTGGCAAGACAGATGGAAAATATTGGCGAATACTTCAAATAATCATTATTACAAGATCCATCCTACGTTACCATCCCTAACATAATTACCACACATATTCCATTATAATATATCCAAACGATCCGCAGCAACTATCACAAGATTAAAAACTAGTCACGGTGCAGTTCCTGCTCACCTGGTTAGATTAAACATTATAGAATCAGGAAAGTCATGAATGTGTTGCTTGTGTGAGTCCATTTCAAATAGGTAAAGAAATAATCAATAAGACTTACTCACAATCAATTTAATTTAACGATCAGACGACCGGTTTCGCTTTCTACAATATGCAAAGCATCCTCAGGTCTCGATACAAAGTTAAACAAATGCTGAAATAATAAAAACCCATATTAGGGTGTTGTCTAATAACGATAAACAAAGTAGATGTTGTAAATTACAATAATTATGCCAATATTACATGTCTGTGGTTTTATTTAAATGAGTAAGTTGAATAAAAGGTATAAAAGTTTTAAAAGTTTAAACAGACAAGGTAAGGCCCACAAATTGTTATAAAATAGTCTCTTCGATTGTAATAAATTAATGTTAATAATAAATGAAATGAGCAAATAAATAAAATAAACGTTACTTACATGCCGGTACTCTATTAATTGATGGATGGTAGAACATGGTTGAAACTACTATGTATTGTCGAATGGAGAACTCAATTCTATTATTGCAGTTGTTTGACAGTAAACGGGAAGTTCTTGAGGAGATAGATTTGATCCAATGAAGAAGAGATATGTGTGTGATTGTTTGTTAAATGAAAGTGATGTAATATACCATTGTGTTATTAAAAGCTATTTATACTTATTCGAGAGATATATTTTTGAAATGATAGCTTTGAAATGAATAAGTATAAATAGCTTTTAATAACACAATGGTATATTACATCACTTTATCACTTTATCGAGAGATATATTTTTGAAATGATAGCTTTGTTTATTTGTCCCAAGAGATTCATGACCCTTTGTTTACTTTTTTTTTGTAGTTGCCCCAATCCAACCCTTTCGCCATTTACTTATCCACGAACCCAGCTCTCTCAACAAACCCTGAGTGCCGTTCGCATATGTTTCGTTTATTTTGCTTGCCCTATCTCCTCCCCCATAGTTTCTGTCCCCAATTTTTTACCCCTTATAATAATACCCCATGTGGTAGGCAAAATATATTAGTTACAATGGCATGCAAGCCTAGACGCTGACAATTAGCTCGTTACGAAGCCTGCCTGGAAAACTTGTAAGATTTTGATATTCCGCTGCACTTTAAAAAACCCGTGGACTGACCATGTTAGAAATGACAAAGTTTTACGACATTTGAATAGAGATCGTGAACTTGTACAGATTATTAAGAATCGGAAAACAAACTATCTAACAGACCGAAAAACAGAAGGAAAGCCAAGTCTGGTAGACGACAAATAAACTGGCTGCGTAACATCAAGGATTGGACAGGACTAGACCTCCAAACCTTAATAAAAAAAGCACAGGATAGAGATGAATTTGCAGAAGTCATCGCATACCTTCATTAAAGACGGCACCAAAGGAAGAACTGAAAATAGATGCTGTCGGTGCATAATGTTGATAACTATTATAGCTGATACATTCACATTTCTTTTAGTTTGTCAATCACTTTAATTATTGTGGTTGAAAGAAACAAGCCTAAATTGTGAGCACGGCAACACTGCTTTAAACTCATTATTCGGCTTGCCTTGATTATAAAATCGCGTAAACATATTTTATTTACATTTATAATCTAACACTCTCTAGCAGTGGTACTGGGTACTGTGAATGCCTTTGCTATCGGTGCAATTGATCGAGAAAGTATTTACATGTCATAGTAAGTTTCTGCATTTAATATAAATAAATTAATCTATTGTATAATCCGCTTAGTGCGGTATTTATACTGCATTATCATTGTGTACGGTCATAATACATTGTTGTATTTGTACTTCTTCATTTCCATAAATTCAAAAAGTTTATTAAGATATTTTCTTTAGCCACAGCTCCATATATTATCAAATTATTTTCTTGTAATCATAATTTTTATTAAAGTACTTTTATTTTTTATATCAAACAGGAAGTTGTCAAATTATAAAATCCAAAACAAACGTTTCTATTTGTAATCTTGACGAGGATCTAATAATATTGTTTCTCACCTGACCATGCGACATACGAGGGCAAAGATATATTTTATTTTCTCGAAAAATAACATCATAATATGCATTTATAAACTAACACATATTCTTCTTTCTTGATACAAACACTTTTGCTTGTTCGTGGATGGGTTATTGCCTCTGAAAGATTGTCACTCCATCTTTTGCGCGGTCTGCCGAATTCTTCTATCATGTGGTAATTTGTCCCTTGATATACGACTCTTGGGTCCGCCATTCTGCTGATATGATCGTTCCATTCTTGTTTTTCTATTTATAGAAAATTTTCTATATTTTTTTTTTTCGTTTATACACTGTCCAATACATTTTGTTCTGATCTTGTTACTCCTTATTTGGTCTTTCAGAGTTTTTTCTGTGATTATTCTTATTAACTAACTCTTAGAGCAGCAGGAGGTAGAATACGGTGTTGAACTTATGACTGCTAGGATGATTTGAGCGACTAGACCAAAATTACTTCATTACTATCCGATCTGGTAAACCTGCTAGTTTTATTTTTTAACAGTAAACTCCAATCCTTCTATAATATCGTGTTATTTTTGTGATAATCTTCCAGACTGCACATTCACTTAGTAAAAGATCTGAAATACCAGTAGAGTGATTAAGAGTGGGCAAGTACGACACAGAGGAAGAAAGTACGAGGGTCAAGTTTTAGGTCAGTGTGCAACTTCGAATTCATGTATCTATTTAATCGAGATGTTTCTAAACCGCAAATAGATTTTTCATTAATTTGCTAGATTCATTAAGACAGTAATTGCATTTATCACGGAACGACGTGGTCTAAACCCAGTACCCTCGTAGATAACACACAGGTGTTACGTTGTAAACAACGATAACCACATTGACACTTGTGCTTGATGCTTATTAATCGAAAAAACATCGACTCTTCCACATTTTTTCGATATAAAAATTATTTAATCCCAATTGTATTTTCATCTGTGAAACACCTCTATGACCTTTAGTTTTATAGTTCATTGTTTCATAAATACAATATCCTCTAGAGTCGCAGCCAAAGTAAACTTACTAAAGTGAGTGATATTTCCGTCATTTGAATATAATGGAACTGTGAACGTTTTAAACAAGATTTTTTTCGTAAGTTAAGTCAAGGATTTATGTATAACTGTTGTCTATTAAATACAACATTAATGTCCATTAAATCTGGCGAGAATCTTTAGGCAAAAGCTACTTGCTTATGTTTAGTTTACCTAATTAATTTAAAATAATATTCATGTACATGTAGCAATATATTATATGAATGGCTACACGTATGGTACTCAATAACGGCAACAATGTATCACACAGAAACACATAAAATAGATATGTCTAAATTGTAATGATTATTATTCATCATTTTTCAATCTATTGTAATCCTATTTTCTACAAATCAAGATATGTCATGAACATTGTAAGTCAATTGCACTGTTTTATTAAGGAAAAGGTGACAACTACTAAAATTTGTTTGGTTAATGACGTCAAAATATAAAGTATGCGTTAAAGACGGTGGTCTTTCGCAATCTGAGCACGCGTCCGTCATCTTGACGTCTCTCGGAGCCGGTTTGCGCGGTTGTGATATCAATACGAACATTCGACACTCAAAAACGAGTCTCGAAAATATCGATACAGTAGGATTAGTTTCCTTAAATGTGCATAGAACTGCACGTGAACTCTGTAAGACTTGGTCTTTATGGGGATTTTGTTCAAAATTTTCACCCCCTTTCCCCGAACATATCGGAATATATTTTTTTCATTTTGTATCAATGGTGTAATAATACTTATATATTTTATAAATTAAATTTCAGGTAATTTTTTACACATTATATTATTATGTTCCTTATACTAATTATAATTATGTTGATTTTCCGAGATTTCCAGGGGGTTGAAAATTATGTCGTCATTATTAATACTGTGACAGACTATTCCAGCCAAATTTAAAAAAAGTAAATTTTTCATTAATTAATGTTTATAAATAATGGAGGTGTACGTAAAAGTCTGTAGCTTGAAAAATATAGAAGTTATTACAATTGTTTATAAATAAAAAACATACCCCTTTTCAAACGTTTATTTTGTAAATAATTTCGATAAAAACGCAATATGCAATTCTGAGATAGTTTAAGTCTTAAAGAATCCTATGAAATCTGCTAAATGTGTCTAGCATCATTAATAGAGCAAGTTCAATAGTTTAAATATTTAGTCTCAGGGATTAATAATAGTACATTGTTTACCGGGTAGGAAAAGCTTAACATTCCTGGACGACTGTGAAGATTGCTAAGTCGAGGCGCAAGCCGAGACTTAGCAACACAGAGTCCAGGAATGTGGCTTTTCCTACGAGGTAAACATACTATTTTTCCGCAAATCGTTTAAAATTCGACAGATATTAATTGATTTAAAAAAAAAACGCGATAATTTTATTCCCAAATAAATGGTGCTTTGAAATTCCTAATAAAATTACTTGGGTTACTATGGAAACGTATTGAGGTTGAATTGTCAAACTTGATGGAATACTAACAACTGTACGGAAATATCATTTCCTTACAGTAAGGAAGTCCTGACTTTTTCTTCAAGAAATTTTGACAGGAATGTCAAAATTTCCTGGCGATTTGCGAAAAATTAAATAACTTAAATATTTGACCGATCGGGGGGAAATTTTGCACAAATTTAAAAGACGGTAATTCCTGGATGTTCAAAAGTATTAATATCATTTTATTTTGTTATTAAAAAGAAAATTAATAAAATTTATAAATTAGTGCAAAAAACTGCTTTTTTTGCAAATATCTCCGTAAATTATTTATCAATTTTAATTTAAAAAATAGAAATAGAATAGAAATAGAAAAAATAGAATTTAGAAACATTTCTAAATTTCTTGCTGACATATTAAATACTGCCTTTGAATATCGCAACAATTATAATTCTAAGGACATATTTACCTTTGTCAATGCTGTTAGGGGAATGCAGTTGCCAAAAGATTATGTTTTGATTTCTTTGGATGTGGTTTCTTTATTTACAAACATTCCACTAAATATGGTCACGAACATTATAGAATCAAATTGGAACCTTATAAAAGACTACACGACATTATCTAAAGGTAATTTTCTACTAATTCTCAGGTTCATTTTTAATAACACTTATTTCAGTTTCAATGAAAAATTTTACTCCCAAATTTTTGGAACACCTACGGGTTCCCCGATTAGTCCCATCCTTGCTACTATTGTAACTGATCATCTCTTAGACAATGTGATCACGCAATTACCTTTTGAATTACCTTTTATATATAAATATGTCGATGACATCATATGTGCAGTTTCATCTTATCACATCAATACCACATTAAACATCTTTAATTCATTTAATGAACATCTTCAGTTCACAATTGACACCGAGACAGATCTTAGTATACCATTTTTAGACACAAAGGTAATAAGAACAAATGACAATATTCTGACATTGGATGGGTACCAAAAGCCAACAGCATCGGGCAGGTATATGAATTACTTTTCAAACCACACAACTCGTCAAAAATATAATACAATATTGGGTATGAAAAAACAGTGTAATGTCCATTGTTGATGATAATTTATTAGAAAAAAATCTGGATATATTATACAACATTTTTCGAAACAACGGATATCCAAAACATATTTTAAAAAAACTCATTTACAGCAGTAATTTCTATGATGGTCCTGTCTTTGATTCCAACAATGAGTCAATCAAAGATAAAAAACTGCCCTTTATAAATGGTCTAAGTCATTCAGTCATATCCATATTTAAAGATGTTTCCAATATTAATATAGCTAAATACAATACCATAAAATACAACTTTTTTCTAAAATTAAAGACCCAGTACCAACCTTATATAGGAGTAATGTGGTATATGAAATACCGTGTCTAGGATGTGAAAAAAGCTACATTGGCCATACATCGCAGTGGCTAAAACAACGTATCACACAGCATAAAAGTGATTGTCGCTTAGGAAAAAATACTTGTGCAGTAGTCCAGTATTATAAAAACACCGGTCATCTGTTAGACTACAACAATGCTCGTATTTTAGCACAGACTGAAAATTACAAAAGTAGGTTATTTTTGGAGATGTACCACATCAACAAAAATAAACAAACTTTAAATTATAAAACAGACACGGGGCAATTAAGCAACATATATTGCAATATATTGAACAAAATTTAAAACTCACTCACCCTAATGACTAATCATACTAACTAGCCTTAATGATTAATTAAAGAAATAATATTCCTCTAATGTTTTCTTACATTGTTACTTTTTGCATTTGAAATAAATTTTAGTTGTTTCCATCTTATTTATTGTTAACGAACGTACTCAAATATATTTATATTTTAACATGCATTTTATTGGATATACGTATACATCAACAAAAATGTTATTTTAATGTCAATTTTATTTATATGTGAAATCTTTTAATTTCTGTAAGGATTGTAAATCTAAGTGTACGCCAGTTTTTTACAGTTACTCCCGATGAAGCTAGTAAATAAATGGCGAAATATTGAGCTTTAGAAAAAACAAAGATTTTTTTTAATATAGACCACATACCCGATATTTCCAACATACTTATATATATATATATATATATATATATATATATATATATATATATATATATATACACTCAAAAATGTTTTGCATAATGTAATATTTTCAA